TTTCTGACAGGCATTTTGTTCATGGTATCCTCAAGAACGATGAGGTTTGGCTATTGGTTTTATACAACCATTGATCATAGCAATGAAAACTCTTTATATGATTAGATTCATTTATTCTGAAGCTCGTTTTCGGTTTGCCAAGGGCAACGTTCTATTTAACGTTTAATGTTTTTTGTTATTTTTTTATTGTGTTCATTCAAGCAACTATCAAAAAAGCCACGGTACCCCTGGCACACCAGAAATCCACTTTAAATTAGTACTCAGTCGTATTTGACCAATTTATAATAAACTTTCTTAAAGACACGAATAGCAAATTGCTTTTGTAATATATATGACTTATAACCTCGGTTACTAATGCCACACAGCATCAGATCTTGGTTTAGTCCCGAATGTGGTCTAGGCCATGAACACTTGCTGTGGAATGTGGGTTAACCCATTTACACCAAAAGCATAGCTCAGTCCGACCCAGATGTTACATCAGTTGTAACAGTTCACACAAAAATGAGAAATCTGTCAATTACATTTGACCTTTTATCCTTGTGTAAGTTCAAACCTGTATCATCTGCTCGTCACACAGAGAAAATGAATAAGAAAATGAAAGGAAATGAAAATGAAAAACTCATATGGACTACTTTATGATACTTTTATGCTGCGTCTTTGTCAAGTTGGTATGTTGGTTTGTGTTCCACATGAAGGAATAAAATCATATGGGATGACATGAGGGTGAGCAAATGATGACAGATGTTTCTTTTTTGGCTGAAATATTTCTTTAACACGCCACTGAATTGATTGCTAGGCTGTGTTGAGTGCACTGCTGCAGGAGGGCTTGTTGTTTTGCATTCTATGCTGCAATTTATGACCCCCGTACAGGTCACTGAGTGCAACAGCAGCGAAGGGAGAAACTTGCAGTCTATCTTAAATGCCTGCCAAGCTGCATCTCAATGCGACACAGGACCCCAGGGCTTTACAAGTGTTAAAAAATGCTATAAATACATATTTGTATTGATTTTACATTATTTGATCTAATATGTTTTCATTTCAAATAAATGAATAACTCACCCAAAATCAGAATTGTCATCATTTACTCACCCACATATCGTACCTAACTCACGACTTACATTCTTCTGTGGAACAGGAAAATAACGATTTTGAAGAATTACTGTATACTCATCACACTTAACAATTCTGAGGGGGAAAAAAAAAATTCTGACTCTTTTCTTGCAATTCTGAGTGTATAGCTCACAATTCTGTTTATATTTCGCAAGTCTTACTTTTTCTTAATCTCATAATTCTGATATTTCCCTCTTAATCGGGGAAGTCGTGGCCTAATGGTTAGAGAGTGGGACTCGTAACCCAAAGGTTGCGGGTTCGAGTCTCATACCGGCAGGGATTGTAGGTGGGGGGAGTGAATGTACAGCGCTCTCTCCCACCTTCAATACCACGACTGAGGTGCCCTTGAGCAAGGCACCGAACCCCCAACTGCTCCCCGGGCGCCGCAGCAAAAAAATGGCTGCCCACTGCTCCGGGTGTGTGTTCACGGTGTGTGTGTGTGTTCACTGCTGTGTGTGTGTGCACTTTGGATGGGATAAATGCAGAGCACTAATTCCGAGTATGGGTCACCATACTTGGCCACATGTCACGTCACTTTCATTTAATTCTGAGGTTACATCTCACATTTTTTTAACCACCATGGAATAAAAATAATAATAGTTGCAACTTATTATCTCACACTTTTTTTCTTGAAATTGTTAGTTTATATCTCACAATTCTGACATTTCTTCTCAGTATTCCAAGTTTATTTCTTGCAATTTTGAGTTTATATCTAGCACTTCTGACTTTTTTCCTCAGAATTCTTAGTTTATATCTTGCAATTCTGTATTTATATCATGCAATTCTGAGTTTAAATCTTAGGATTCTGACTTTTTTTCTTAGAATTGCTAGTTAACATTTCACAATTCTGAGTTTATATCTCGCAATTCTGACTTTTTCCACAGAACTGCAAGAAACAAAGTCCAAATTGTGAGATGTACGCTCAAGAATTGCGAGATAAAAAGTCACAATTACCTTTTTTCTTTTTTTATTCTGTGGCAGAAACTGGCTTCCATAACTGCCTATTGACAATAGTGTAGCGATGAATAAAGCACAGCTCACACACAAGTCACTTTCAAATTTTGCCTGAACAATGCTAAGTGTTTTATTATTATTATTATTATTATTATCTTAGAAATTAAAATACAAATCACAATCTAGGGTTGTAAATGCATTTAATAAGCTAACACAACACACAGTTATTTATATGGTGCATATTACAGTAGCCTATATGAGTCACACTGGTCAGTATATCACGATAATATGATGTGACATGGTCCCTCAGCCTCACGTATTGGAATACCACTGGTGTCCTGAGACTCATGAATATTAATAACTTAACGAGACGTTCGAACAGTAGCACTAAAGTATTGGCTGAGAAGGCGCTATACTGCTGCTGGTGAATTTACTAATTCTTAGGCTTATGTTTTTTAAACAGGTTGCGTGAATACCTGCGTAATTTTACGAAGCAACATGGCCATATTAATATTCATGCGCTGCGCTTTAGTCATAGTGCCTCTGGTAATATTGCGCGCGGATGAAGGGCAGGTGTTTATTGCATCTCGTCACTTGTCATTAATGGGATCCCCAAGCGCATGAATGAGGAGCGCTCGATGCCTTGTGCCCTCTCAGACGACAGCCACACAAAAACATCTGCTTTATGACAAATAAACAATAATGACCGTGTCAAATGAACATATGTTTCTAAAGTGTTTTTGAAAAATCACATACCCTGCCTTTAATAGGCCAAGCCAACCAACTGGCTTAAAAACTGCACTGCATTGCAATGAAATAATGAAATGAATGATGATTCAAAGATCCTGGCAGACCAGAAGACCTGGCTGAACTTGCGATTGTCACCTTGGGCTTCCTCACTGGAGATCTTGACCTAAAACTCTATAGCAGCTGTTTTTACACATTTTATTTAGGTTAATCTAAACATAATTGTTTATATAATTCCTAATCAGGTTTTTATTTTATTTTTTTATTAATCAAAGTATTGTTTTGTTCCATTGTTCTCTGCTGAAAAGCTGAATGCAATAAGTTTAGCCATCATGCCAGAAGAGATGACAATATTAAACACATTATGTTTTATTTGATATAGTTATCATACTGCACCCCCTGGTGTTAGAAAACTGCATTTTAATTAGTTGAATACTTTACAAGAAACATAATTAAGGCAGACTTTGAAACAGAATGTGCTGTTTTAAACAGGAACTTCCGAAAAAAAAATGTTTTGAATTATTTAGTCACAGGAGATGAAGACTGCAATCATATTAGTAGCTAATAAGTTTTTGTTTTGTTTTTTGTTTTGTTCAAAGGAAAAGTTCAACCAAAAATTCTGAAATGAAAAATGAAATGTACTCACTCTCCTTGTTCCAAACCGTCTGTTGTTCTTTTTTTTTCTGTTTTAAAGAACGTTGGTAACCAAACAGTTGGCGGTAGCCACTGACTTAGGCCTGCATTGAATTTTTTTTTCATACTGGAAGTCAATGGCTACCGTCAACTGTTTGGTTACCAACATTTTTACAAATATGTTCTTTTGTGTTCAACAGAAGAAAGAAGCTCATACAGGTTTAAAAAAACTTGGGGGTAAATGAGAGTAGCTAAATGACAATTTAAATTTTTGAGTGAACTAATTCTTTAATAGGGCAGATATCTTTCACTTGTGGAATGAATAAGCACTTTTTACAATGGCACCAGTAACTGAAAACATATGGGTGTTTGTGTTTTTTGTGGGTGTGGTCAATAGGCTATAATGAATAATTACTACTTTTAAATTTCATGTGCACTACTAGACACTAAAATTATGTAAAAATTTTTTTTAAATAAAATAAAATCTGCCAGGGTGTGTGCGTGTGTCGAAAAGAATCACCCCCCCTTTAAAATAATCCCATTTTGTTTAAAATAATCACATTCTGAAATGAAGACGGACACAGTTTTTGTTTTATCCAGCTGTATTTACTCAGTGCAACTTATAACATCCAAGTAAAAGATACACCAACATGTCAGAAAAAAAAAAAAAAAATAGAATCACCAGAAAAAAAAGTTGACGCAATATTTACGGACACACATTTTTATAAGAAAAAAAGTTATTTAAAAAAAACAAAACAATTTAATGTTGTAGAATTAGGAAAATTACTAGTTGGGCCTTTTATAAATAAAATAAATGAAATATTACCAAAATAAAAGTAAAATAAAATATTTTGATTCCACAATGATACGTGATGGAAAAAATACACTGACTATTTCCGACAACAAGAAATCATGATTTTCAGCTATACAAGACAGAAATTATTATATTGTTATGGCCTATCTTTAGTGAGTAACAAATTATTAAAATAAATAAAAATATAACCATTTGAAAAAAGCAGAAAAAAAAATGAGTTTGGACACCAAATGCACCTGCAATTACAGAATCCCCTCTTTACATCTGTAATCTTCCGCATTCCTCTCATATAATGCAGCGGCCGCTTTACCGTAACTAAAATAGAGGAGCGCACGAAAAAACGTTTTGTTTTAATCAATGAGTCAATGTGCAATAAAATCTAAATAATAGCCTACGCTCCACAAAAGTAGTGCGTAACTAGATATAACAGGCAATAACTGAGTGGCTATAATCTACTAAAGAGTTTCAATGAATCGGGTCATTTATGCGCGCAACTTGTCTACAAAACGTCGGATAACAAAAACCGTAAACGGCTCGGTTAAATTACTTATACTGAACGTTAAAGCAGCGTTTTACTTAAAAAGTGTTTCGTAATGCTTGTTTCTGGGTTATGTTCGCAAAACGTTTTCATATTTGGGGCAAAATGGCGCAGTGGTCGTTTGGGGAAGATCCTCCAATGTGCTCGTGGACTATTTGGACTTCATAATGCGACTTGACTAAGTGGAGTACGGTACAGCATACGGAGGGGTGTAAACATCCACGATGTGTTTCGCGAGAAAGGGGTAACTGTTCATTTCGAGGCAGTTGTTCTGGAGGACTTAAGTATATTTAACACTATTTTGGGAGGTGGGATGAGGAAGAATGAAAGAGGTCTTCCAACAGAGCGGTCGCAATCATGAACGGTGCCCTGTACATTTCGTTTTTCCAAGGTCAGCTGGAGTCCGCGCTGGAGCAGGTAGTGCAGCTCGCCGTACAAGAAATCACCAACACTGCTGGGGCCACTTTGAATTCAATGCTATTGGAAACGGCCACCAAAGAGCAGGAAAATCAGCGTTTGAGGGCTACCCTTCAGTCTCGGGGAGGGAACGGGAAAAGCAATGCGTCTAAAGGAAAAACCGACACGAACGACGAAACAAAGCAACACACCCCCGGTCAGATCCCGGAATGTGGCGTTCAGTCCGAAACGCTCAGGCGTGAACAGAAAGCGCGGGCAGTTGGTAAGGCTATTTGTGTGCAAACGGTGTTTTCGTTGAATTAAAATGAACAAAACGTGTTGGGGACCGTGTTCAATAATCTGTATTATTAAAACACTCGTGTTTACACTGCAAATCTGACTCTGTGGCTTGTTGCGCAGTGGCGAGGTTTATAAAATCAAGGGTAAACACCATTTTGAACGGAAGGAGGAAGTCATAATAACCCTAACGTTAGTCTGCTTTTTGCACCCATGTATTTCAATTTCCTAATTGTGGTTAAACGCGCTTGTAGTTCAGAGACGTGGCACGAATGACCCTGTAGTTAAACCCAAACCATGCCCTGATGGAAAATCCAGCTTTAGATGTACCTGTGTTTTGAAACATGCTATGTGGTTTCTATGTGGTCTAAGTTGGCCATTAGCTGGTTGACTAGTTCCTAAAACCAGCTTGACCAACCGCTTTCTTGCTGGTCCACCAGTTAGCACCAAGTTCTTAGACTAACTAGAGACCATCTACCATGCAATACACAACTACTAGAATATGCTGAATTTTAGTCTTGTTTAATTTCTAAGTCTAACTTATTTATTTTCTTCAGCTCCTATAATAATTAAGATAAACTGGTCCACAGAACACTGTTTTTTTTTTTTTTAAACCAATCATTTACTCTTGGAGGAAGTGTGCAAGTCTGCATAATTCTTCATGGGAGACTGTGGAGAAACAACTCATTGTTTTAGACCGAATGTTTTGTCTTTGTTGAGTGGAATTGTATGATTGGAGGAAGTTTTTGATGTCTGGTCTTTGAAATGAATCTTAGCAGTCTTCAGGCCTGTGTGGGCATGTATTCATAGACCTTTTAATGTTTGGACTGGAGTTTGGCTGACTTGTTATGACTGCTGCCAATGGCTAGTTTGGGTGATGACGCTTCTGTCATTGAGCTGCTCGTTAGCGCTGCTTTTCGTACTGCAGTGACGGTAGCCATGGGGAGGGTGCCTTTGCATTGCATTTACCAATAGAGGTGGTTAGAGGAAGCCACACCCTCCAGACCCTGCAGAGGGTATCCATGGTTAGGGTTTGATGGGGGAGTATCATGAGAGTCTTCATCCTACATAAGCAGAAACTGCAGCCAAATCACAAAGGAGCCCAATGATCTGCTTTGATGCCATATGGCATGTCAACATGCACACAGTTTTTTTTTTTTTTTCAAAAATGCACAGTTTAATTAGTTAGATATAGATGCGGCACTAGAATTAAATGAATCCAGATCAGATATTCCCATTCAGCACATCCTCACAGTTACACATGCTTCAAAATGGCATTTAAATAAGTAAATCATTATTAGTTTCAATTGCAGCTTTCTTAAAGTCCGCATCAGGGCTCAACAGTAAGGATGGGCATTGTGAAAGAGTTTCAGCAGGCAATGCAGATTTGTGATAGTTTTGGAAGCATCAGAAAAAATGTGTTGGAAAAATACAAACCATAGATACAAGCTTTCACTTTCTCTCAAAAATTATTTATGGAGTTGGAGTTACATTGTAGTTTTCAGTCTATTGCTAATTATTTTGTAAAGCAACAACAAATATATTTGTGGGGAACAATGTAAAGAAAGCTTAACATTTAATGAACAAAAAAAATTCTGGCAAATATTAAAATACTTTGCAAAACATGAAAATTGATCGGTTTTATGTTCAGAAAAGTATTCTTATATTTGCTATAAATAGTAGTTGTGTTGAACTTGAATTGTAAATAACTTTTTGTCATGTTTTTTGTGGTTGGTGCAGTGAAAATGTTGGGCCACCATGAAAAAAAATCTTATTGTTGATGTTTAAATGCATTTTTAATGCTTCTGAATGATTCATTAGTGCACATTATTCCAAAGAAATAAAAGCCTCTGAAATGACTTTCCTTTGTGATCAATGTCACAGAGTCCTCTTGCTTTTCAGCCTCTCCTGTCACTTAGAGACCACTTTACATGATCCATTATATTGCGAAAGGAGGATAAAATCAAGTCATGTCCTATATTTCTTTTTCTTGACTATCCTGTTTCACTCTGCAGTGCATCACATTACAGAAGTAAAATGGCTTGTGAATGGCATTTCATGTTGTTTAAAAAGTGTTGCACGTTTTCATCTGTATGAGCCAGGGTGGCAAATTGCAAGAATGAAATATATATTATTAGACAGCATAGTTTGATATTGACAGCTAGTGCATTTAATAGTTTAATGACCAAAGATCAATATGCTATATATTGACTTCAACCTAATATGTTTGCTGTGGCTGAATTTGTGAAATTCTTATCATTAATTCTTAATGAGGATTTACAATATCCTTTTCCAGCATCACTGGTTTTATTTTTATTTTCAGTTTTATTCTATGTTGCATCTGCCCTGTCCTGCAGTAATATAATATTTTAGACCATTTTTTAGATTGCAAAAGAAACTCAAAACATATTTGTTGCCAATAAAATCTATATATTTGTGTGTATATGTATATTTGCTAGATATTTATAGTAATATAACTTTAGTAGGAAAACTTGACCACTTTGACTTCTGTTAGTATATCAGCTTTTGCAATAAGATGTTAATATTGTTCATATTTTAAGTATGCTTAGACCGTAAGGCATTTAGGGACTTTTAGATGTGGTCTTTCAATTGTCTGATCAAAATGGGCTCCTTACAGTCATGGAGGAATGGAGAGGACTGCATGCTGTGCATTTTAAAGACTGTATTTCTGCAGGAAGGTGCATTTCGTATGAGTTACAAGCAACGCATCCAAAACAAAATTCAGACCTGCAGCACTTCCTTCTGATTTGAATACACGCCACTGACACCCCGTCACTATGAGAAGTGCTGAGGTAATTACCAACGGTTCCTCTTCTTTCCTAATTACCTGTCTGCACAACAAATTTACTTCCGGGTATTAATAAAGAAACCTTGAACCTTGAAAATACCGATTTTTATAGATGCCTAAACCTTTTAAAACCTCAAAATGAAAGGTTCAGTATCACTTTAAAAGTCATACTTTGACAGTTCGTTGAGAGTTTTGTGTCACGTTGGGTTTAAAAAAAAATAAATAAAAAAAAAAGATAAATTCGTTCATTGGTATGTCTCATTTTGTCAACATGGTGTAAAACATTATTATATCTGATCTTAAGATTTCATTCAGGATGTTAATTTATGATTTTCAATAAATGCATTGTATTATTTTATTAGTTTTGCAGGATTTTTTTTATCAAAAATTGATTTAATTGGTTTTGCATGTGACCATCATAAGTATGTAAATAAAATATGGTAGTATGCAAATGTTATTATAGGTCAGGCCTAAAATACACCACTCAATTTTATACAGTCCATCAGTTCCATTTCTGCATCAACAGAAACGCATTCATAGTGGCATTTTTCTTAGATTGCCTTCAAATCTTGATCTAGCGTAATTGAGGCTTTAAATCTGAACTTTTGCTTGCTGAAAGTAGGGAGCCAAGCAAATTGGTGTGATTCTCATAAATGTCAGCCAGCAGCCTTATGATGTGCCGTTCTCTGCAGTGGATGCCGCAGAGAGACATTAGACAACCTACAGGCAATAACTACCTGTTTGTGTCACAGAAGTAAATAATATCATAACGTCCCCCGTTTTGTCTCCATTTTCAGGTCAGTTAAAATCTGTTATGGAGCACGTGCTGGAATTTGCCGTTTATGAGCTGACTAAAATCGTGGAAGACAGCTTTGACGACCTGCTCTCGGAGTACACCAAGAAGGAGCGGGAAAACCAGATATTGAAACGGCAGTTACTGGACAAGAACATAGTGGAGGACAGTGATGCGGTTGCTGTGGAAACGGAGGACCGCAAAAATGACTCTGCCTCTCCTAGCAGTTCCAGAGTAGAAAAGCAAGAGTGGAAAGGCCTGCAGGGCCACTCACCCAAAAAAGAAAAAACTGAAACCACAAACGGTAATAAACTGTTTTATTATCTGTTAGTTGATAATTAGAATGTATGTACATTACCGTAAAAAAGTTTGGGGTTTGTAAGATGCTTTTGAAGAAACTCTTATGCTCACCAAGGCTACAGTTATTTGATCAAAAACAGTAATATTGTGAAATATTAAATGTAAACAATTAATTTTAAAATGTAATTTATTCCTGTGATGCAAAGCTGAATTTCCAGCATCATTACTCCAGTCTTCAGTGTTTATTATTATTTTATATATAAATATTATTATCTATGCTGAAAACAGTTGTGCTGCTTAATTTTTTTTTTTTGTGAAAACCTCTACACCTTATTTTTCCAATGCGGAAGTAAGCTGTTTTCTTTGAATGTGTGAGACTTCCGGTTCATTAGCCGCTGTAGGGAAATAACAAGAAGAATAACAAAGTACAGGAAATTGTAAAGCTGTTTGCACTACAAACCAGTGTGTCCAGAATTAAGATAATACGTTAAAATAATATGGTAAAACACTCCAGTTTGTAATATGAAGCAGCAAAACAAGCTTTTTTTTTTTTTTTTTACAGCTTTTACAGTATTTTTTTTGTTTTGTTTTGGTAACATTAAAAAAAATCTTTAATGTCACCTTTAATCAATTGAATGCATCCCTGCTGAATAAAAGTATTAATTTCTTAAATTAAAAAAAATAAATAAATAAAACTTAAGGACCTCAGTAGTGTAAAGTTGGATAGAATCACTTCTTTTTGTGGAAAGAATTGACTCCAAATGAATTGTGTCACTGATAGCATTGTTTATTTGCATGCACTGTCTGTGTTGTTTTAGCAATCATTTGACTAAAAGAATTATGGAAACCAGGTAACTGTACAAATCCAATTTGTTTGGTGCAGTTTCCCAACTTTCGGGCTGGTTCTGAGTGCTCAGTTTCGGAGGATTCACCAGACTATTGTAATTTGGCTTATTTTACTGTAACTGTCCATCATTGCTCTACCTGGCACCTGAAACGTCTCTGAATGAAGTTTACAATGTTCCTATATTTTTTATTGGGTGTCAGGCTGGATATGCAGCTGTTCTTGTGATTTGGCTCCTACGATCAATAGAAAAATGTAGACAAACATTTCTTTTAAATAAAATTCTGTTTAATGCCCACTTTCCATGGGCAGAAATCAAATGTAGCAGGCTTTTGAGAATAAGATGAAATGTAGATGAAGTTTTTCATAGAAAGCATGTTTGTGCTGAAAAATGCCAGTGAGTTCATTTAAATATGGCTGGTGTGGCACTAATGTTAAAAAGCTTATGTAAAATGGTGAGTGTTCAGAATAATATGCCCAATGTTCAAAGATAGTATTACACCAAAATGAAATTTCCCCTTTTATTAACACATGTTGGCACGCCATCTGTTACCATCTGTTCTTTGGGTTTCATTCAGAATTCTATTTTTAAGATGTTATGTAAAAACAAAGCGGACCAGGCCAATGATTCGGCTCACAATAAACATCTTGTTTGCAGACAGATATTGCCTGCATTGCAGGTAATTATTGAATAAGACCCAGGTGCTTGTGCTGAAGTATGGTCTTGTTTTTCAGTTATTATAACAATTTAATTTAATTCTAACTAGTTATTGTTATTGCTTTCAAATGCGAAAATCACTTTCAAAAGCGAATTCTACATTATTTACAAGTGAATTGCAATCAGCAAACAAAGGTCAGTTGGCTTTCCAATTTAGTTCAGTGTATAGCTCTATAAATGGAGTTCATTAAACCTGAAAAATAAGCCATTGTTTTTAATTTCCATCTCTACAATGTTTTTTTTCCCCCCAACAGAACCTGACAAGCAGACTGTCATTGCAGTGGCTCAGAACTGGGTGCCCATCCTGGACAAAGTCTTCGGGCAGAAGTGGTGCAGTGACCTCTGGCAGATCAAAGAGGTCACCACCAGTAAAGAGGAGCGCACCGGGCTGAGCTCGGGCTCGGTGACCGACATGAACAGCTTAATTCGAGAGGCGCTCATGCCGTCTTGCCTGGCCACTCAGAGGAAGCTGGAGCTGGAGGTGGGGCAGCCACCATGGTTGCCACTAGACGGTATGGAGGTTGTTTCTCTAACCTCTGAGACTAAAGGCGTTCCTGTCATCAGCTCCACAGGTAGGCTGAGCTGTGCTAATGATCTAGTGCGGTCAGTGCTGGGTTATCTGGTTTACGTAATCAAATTCCAAAAATTAAGTATTTGTACTTAGAATATATGACATTTTAAAAATGTGAATAGTCAGATTACAGTTACTTTTTATTGATTACATGATTACATATTAACACAATGGCAGTAAATTATGCTCCCTAATTCTTTTTTCACTTAAGTTTTCTTTTCTAAAAATTCTACTGTGTGTCATACTATTTAGCTTTGACTATATTCAGAAATGACTTGCAAATAAATTTGCAAACCATGTTTCTGAATAATTTAATTGTTTCTTTATAATTTAGCAACACATGATTCGCATGTTTACAGTTGTCTGATATCGGTTAATGGTCACATTGGCATGCAGGTAAACAAATAAAATGTTTCTATTTTTAGTGTTCAATTGTTTAAATGATTTTTATTTTACATTTTTATGATTTAATTAATTATTAGATTTTCATTAACTTACAAAACCACCGCAGTTCCTACATTAAGCCCAGTTTGGGAAACCCTGGTGTAATGTAATGTTTAATGCATTTTATGTTGTTAATATAAAAAATTGAATATATTTGCTTTCTCTTATCTTTTTTTAATATCAATATGATATGAATAATGGTAAGTTTAAAACAAATTAGATAAAAAAGTAATCTAAAAAGTAGTCAGAATACATTACCCAAAATGAGTAACCTAGATTATGTTACTAACAACATAATCATGTAATCTGTAATTAGTAACGGACTACAATTTGTAAGTAATTACCCAGCACTGAGTACGGTTATAATGTCTTTGTGTATACAGGCGATGACTCTCAAATCAGATCCCCGTCAATGTTGCAAAGACTCCTGACGCTCCCTTCCCAGCTGCTCGAGGATGACGATGAGTCCATGGATGCCGTTCCCAGTCTGGAAGTGTCCAAAGACCCAGCTGATCCGCAAGACGGTAAGGGCTCAAAGAGTGACCAGATGAATAAGAAAAAGGACGAAGAGGATGAAGACGAGGAGGACGACGAAGATGATGATGAGATGACGAACAGGACTGAGTCCTTGAAACACAAAGGTAGGAGAAAATCCCATGCTTGCAAAGAGTGCGGCAGGAAGTTCAGCCGAGCGCATCTTCTCAGAGCCCACCGACAAACGCACGAGGAGACACCCAACCGATGCCCACAATGTGGAAAGAGTTTCTCCCAGTCTTCAAGGCTCCAGGCTCACTTACGGACACACACGGACAAAACGATATGAGAGCGCGAAGGTGGAAAAAATTCAGAATAGGAGGAGCGGTTTTCCAGTGATTATAGCTTCTCGAAGTGAGTGGAACTTTTTCATTACACGTACTGGTGAAGGAAATGCAAGAAACGTGTCGCCTTTTTTGCTAGTTTGAAGGTACACTGAGGTAAACGGATTAGTCATCTGACACGATTTAAAGGGTTAGTTCACCCAAAAATGAAAATTAGGCTGCGTTTTACTCACCCCCGAGGCATTCTAGGTGTATATGACTTTCTTCTTTCAGATGAATCCAGTCGGAGTTATATTAAAAATTGTCTTTGATCTTTCAAGCTCTATCATTGCAGTCAGCGGGTGTTGCATTGCTTCAGTCCAAAAGAAGTGAAATAAAAAGCGCCCATCCATAAAATAAAGTGTCTCCCACAGCTCCGGGGGATGAACAAAGGCCTCCTGTAGCGAATCGATGCGTTTTTGTAAGAAAAATATCCATATTCAAAATGTAATAATCACTTGAATCTAGCTTGCGCTCACTGTTGTAAACCGAAGCAGTTCCGGGGGAATGACGCATATACACCTAGAATGCCTCGGGGGTGAGTAAAACGCAGCCTAATTTTCATTTTTGGGTGAACTAACCCTTTAAGATGTTTTTACCTCCATTTCGTTTCCCAAATTTTAAGGATTATTGGAAGAAACAAATACCAGTAACAACAAGCTGTGTACGCAGTGTAAATATCATAGTAGGGCTGTACAGACCATCACAATAAGAATCAAAGAATTTCCTTTTTCCATTGGGTGTTTTTTCATAATACAGGTTTTAATAGATCATAATACTTTGTAAATATTTTCAACATGTTACATGTTGTGGAAAAGGTGGTCCCTAGTTGATAGGTCCCTTGCAGCATGCTGGTCTTGTTTCTTTTTGCAAACCTTTTGAATGTGATCAAACGAACCAGAGATAGTGTAAAGCGCCTCCTGTGATCAAATCAACCAGTTTTTAATTTGTCCCTACTGACTTCGTACTCAACATTAAATACCTCTTATGTTCAGATGTCATACTGGATTTTTATATAATTAAAGTCTCAACGTACATGTCAGATTTGAGATGTTTTCTTCAACATTTCGCCATGGATCGAGGATGGCTTACAGTTTTTGACTTGAACTTGCACAACTGTCATCAATTGCATGACGTGCACAACCAAGGAGGTCTTCAAGAGGAATCTGAAGAGGAGATGATGCTATGACAAGAAAAGTGCATTGAAATGGTTATTGGAAAGAAACTTGAAGCTCCTAACTCTTCATATTCTCATTTCAGTGACTTGAAAAGAGGATCTGACTTCCTTAGCATCCTCAACTAGAGTAGCGTCTTCCTGTACTGTTTGCGTGAGGTTTTTGCATACATCTTGAACTTGGAGAAATGCTCAGTTGTGAGATTTGGTTTTCCCAGCATCGGTGGCATGCATCTGAATATGGATCGTTATCTACCATTTCCAGAGAGGCAGACGGATTCTGCACTTACAATTTACTCCCTGTATCGAAAAGATATAGGTCCCACCTGTTACGCACATTCCCACTTATTGGATCAATACCTCATCGATGGGACCATATCTTTTCAGGACTTCTGCAATATCAGGAGTTAAGGTCCTGCACAAAACAAAAAAAAAAGTTTACAAATGGAACGAGACCGGCCAGTTGGCGTGCTTATTATTTGAATGTGGCTTATTTTGTTTTACGCTACCTAATATGTCCCTGTAGGAAGGTACCAAGAACTTGCGACCCAAAGATTACAATGAAGGGAAATCTTACATGCATTCACCGTACATTCTCTTATAGGATTGTATTGCTTTTTTTAAACAATATGGGCCATTACATTTTACATTATGAACCCTAAGCTTCTTTTCAGATGTATTGAGTATCTTAACTTCATTAGTAGACTATAATGAAGTACTTCATCTGTTTAGTGCCTAGATTTAACCGCTCAATAAGCTGATCTTATAGGTGGTGGTGAGGATTGAGAGGTTAATTTGTTGTTTAGCACCCCGCCTTTGTTAAGAACTTGCCAGAACTCCTTCTTTCTTGTGCTTAGTGCTTTGACCAGAACAGTCAACTCTAGATATTGTACTAGTTCTCTTTAATTATGTTACGGCTGGTCAGATCTAACTTCTGTGTAATTACTAATATTAAAATAACTCTGTATGTTTCATCGATTCAGACTGCTGGGAGCAATACCGGAAAGGGATAGTTCACCCAAAAATGAAAATTCTCTCATCATTTGCTCGCCCTCAAGTTGTTCCAAACCTGTTGAACTGAAAAGATATTTTGATATGTTGGTTACCAGACAGTTGCTCGTGTCACATACCAACAACTGTTTTGCTACCAACATTCTTCAAAATATCTTAATTTTGTGTTCAACTGAAGAAAGAAATTCGTACAGGTGTGGAACAAACAAGAGGGTGAGTAAATGATGACACAATTTTCATTTTTGGGTGACAGGTCTCTTCAAGCTAATTACAGCTCAAAGATCCAAAAGACTGAACACGAACTTAGAAAGAGTGACAATATCGTGGTATATGTCCATTTGTTCTGAGTTACAGTAAGCATTTTAAATGAATATTGAAGGACTTGAATTTTGCATTTGACTTAATGCAATGAAACGGCCCCATGTACACCCATCTATTTATGACCATGAATTAAAGAATCTTAGCATGTAAAATCGCTTTGGGCTGCAGATATTTATTCAGTTAGTACTGGCGAATGTGTGATGCAGTCTCTTGTAAAAACGACATTGCAACTTTGCGGTATGTTTGTTTGCGTGTGCAAACAAACATACCGCAAACTGCAGTTACTGACTTTCCTTGAAGTGCATCATGATGATAACTCAATTGGCCGTCATTAATACCCTGCACCTGTTGTTTTATTATTTTATTGTAACCTTTTTTTTGTGAAGCAAAATGAACAGCAACTTTTTGTCAAACAGTCTTGACACATGAGCTTTGTGATGCAGTCCAACATTCGCCCGGAGAACTGCATTATTCTAATGAACTACTTGATAATTTTGCTGTTTTGTTTTGTTATGCATGATGACTCCTTTTAGCGGTTTTATTACTTTTTAAGAATCTGCATTGTCATGTATTGAAAAGAACACTTGTTGTAACAGACCATTGGATCAACTGCATAGTAACTCTGAATGGATTATAGAGTTCAGCATTTGACCAATATATGCCAAGTATTACTTTTGTACCATTTTCTTTTACTTTTTTTTGTTTATTTTTTACTCCAGTATGTATTTTGCACTGTTTTGTTGGTATTCTGAAAGCATTGCTTAGTTCATTACCTCAGGACTCATTCACATAGTTTTAGCATATTTATGGCGAAAGTAGACAAATACAAGAGCTCTGTTAAATTTGGGTTTACATTCAGTAATATTTTTTGTTGAAATAA